CTGCAAATGTTTCCTCATCCGCGTTCATTGAAAATGCTACCAAAGTCCCACCCGCCTTCTATATTAGTTTAAACAGCTGACATCAGTGAAAATGAAATCTTGTATTGCTTATAACGGCAACAAGGTCTGAAAATCTTGGCAGAGAAAGTGGAAATACAGTCAAACTTCATTAATAAGAGCATTGTTAATACAAGATTCTGCTTGTAACAAGGACACTTTTAGGTCGGTCCCAATCTTTTGTTCTTCATTGTTTTTGATCCTGATAATACAAAAGTTCCTGTTATCACAAGGTATTTTGGCAAGTCAAAAAGACCTCTTATTAATGAAGTTCGACTGTAATTGTTTTCAATGTCACAATGTTTGGCAAGTCAAAAAGACCTCTTATTTACGAAGTTTGACTGCAATTGTTTTCAATGTCACAATGTTTGGCAAGTCAAAAAGACCTCTTATTAATGAAGTTCGACTGTAATTGTTTTCAATGTCACAATGTTTGGCAAGTCAAAAACTGTGATGGGAAATGCCCTTGAGAAAAAGAAGAAGAAAAAAAGTTCAGCCTATGAAATAGCTTCAGGCCATACATGTACATGTACATTTCAGGGGTCATCACAACACACAAGGAGTTAATCTGTACCGCATCAAGTGACCTGTAATCCTACTGGTATGGTATGAAAAACACACTAATTCGCAGCCCTGCCCGACACTCTTCCAAGACCATCAGTCTCCCTCCCAATAGCACTCAGGGGGAAATGGCTAAAGGAACTGCCCGAGTGTGAAATACGTGTACAGCAAAGGGGGGAGGGGAGCAATAAGGAGATGCACCATGCGGAAACTGCTAGACTAGATATTAACTAATTATCCACTGACCAAGTCCCACAAATGTGGACAAAGCTTCTACATGTCATGCATGCTCCTGGATGCATTATTTTTCCAGCCCTGCTTTCCTTGTGTACACCAGCTTGGAAAAGGGTCACAGGCTGGTAGGCTGATGGAACGGAACACACAAGAGTATGCTTAGTGAATTATACTACAGTGCTCGTCCCTTACATGATATGGTGAATCAATGAAAATTGTATAATGAAAGTAAACGTCATGTGGCTACAAGTGCTAAGAGCCTACACATGTATTTAATTACTGGTGCATGCAGGCCTACATATTTATAGGGAATGTATGTGAAAATTCATTGGATTTCTGCCACATTGATGGTGCATACAGAATTCTGTTAAATGTATTCAGTATACAATATAAACTTGTTTAAATGCCATTCAGCCTATGCACGCTTACCAAAATGCAAGTAAATCACATACCGGTACATGTAACATACACATATTTTTATACAAGTACATGTGTATATTGCTCACTAAGATGCAACTCAATTTGACCTGTCAAATTACATGTACAATAAAGATAGTGATTGCAATGCCAAGAAATCCACAAACAGCAGTAAAATGTGGTTGTTCATCATTTGTTCAAATTTTATACTGATTAATGCATAAATTAATCACTGATCGTTGGCTGCATCACAAACTGACGTATCATGGATAATTGCTGTACCACATAATGTACACGTATACATGTAAGTGCAAAGTCTATGGACTGTATGTCACTTCGTGATGGACCAAAACTATCCTAGTATGTCACTTCATGATGAAATCGACGACTTGTACTACATACTTGTACTAGTACATGTACGACCAGGAAATAAATGGTTTTTATAAATGTATCAAGTACTCTGCAAATCAGCAATATTTTTGTCCAGAGAGTCTTTGTTTGGGGGAAAGGAATTCATCATTTTCAAAACAACACTGAAGGTTGAATAATGAATGGTCTTTCGTCTAAACAGTATAATAATTTTTCACGGTAAATCCATTCAGCTTTTAAGGCATTAGTTTGTAGAACAATGCCTGAGCAAGATTTAAGTACCAGTACAAAGTCCAGATCAACAACTTTGGTGTCCTCGACCAGATGTTGGTCCCTAAACAAACACAAATTCACAACAAATGTAATTTTCTAATTCCACTATTTTCATTCGATTGTTTCAAAAGGCATGTACAACTTTAATACACATACAAGGTCTATTCAACTTGTTATTAAGCTGGTATCTTCAATCGATGAATGGAATTACAGTTGTGTGGAGAAAGCAATACAGCACAACGGTTAGCCCCTTTGTAAGGTATTTCATTGAGAACCTTCAATGACTATAATGTGTGCATTCTGTGCCTTAGGTGTCCCCTGACAGACAAATTGGCAGAATTAAAACAATCATTTGTGAATCATGACTAATTCCATGGGGACACTTTTTAATTTCCTGTCCAAATAGTGAGTTTTTCCCAAATAAAACATATCTGTGAGCTTGCCACACAATACCCAGCACTGTGCATGTACAAAACATTGCAGTCACAGTCATGTTGTTGTTTATACCAAGTGCCTCCCCAAGACCCATCAAGGACCAAGGCAAAAAAACCACAGGGACCAACCACAGGGCTGAGTCACTCTGGTTCCTTGTTTAAACAACAGGCCCACAGTGCTGTATATCCTCGGGAGCCAGACTTTGAAATGAACAGGGAAGGCTACAAACAGTGTTCATGTACATGTATCTGGAGACATGTCAACCACTGCCACTTGGAAATAATGACCTCTTCAGTGGGTTCACAGAGGAAGCTAGGTTTCCGGAATAAATAGGAACTTTTGTCTGGGCATGCCAACATGATGACAGTCCAACGCAAACACTGGATTAACTTGAACTCTCACTTGGTGAAACCACTCCTGTAAAGGCTGTATATGTGTCATGAAGTACACACATGTACATGTTCGTACCAAAATAAATATGGAACAAACTACATGTATGAAGTTACAGTGTAGTAATGAAATCAGCAACACAAATAAGACTGCTCTTTCTGTGCTAATTCCTGTTGATGAATGTACATGAGTGAGTACAAACAAATATTCGGAACAGATAACAAAGTCAAGGTCATAAAATGTAAATTTTTAAGACTATTACAAATGAAGAACTTGGACACCTACATGTACATGTACATGTACGAGTACATTTTCCATTCCAAGACCATATTAAACATATACAGGCTTACTGGGGCGTTCATGCTGTATTGTAACTTTGTAACTGTATATTGAATGTATATCTTTTACTCTCAAATGCCATAAGATACCGGTACTTTGAAAAAATTACAAATGCAAATGGCACTGAGAACCAAAAGCAACAATGCGCACCTGTTTTACACCCAAAGAGTAACATACATGTACATGTACATGGTATCAAACTTAACCAGAGTCCAAATCCAGACGAGCCATAGAATTTCAAAATTCAATGCTTCTTGGGCACAAGCTTTTGAAAGCTGAATCCAGGGCAAGTTTACCCAAGTTAACGTGCTGACTTTTCACTGCGTGCCTCTTCTGAAAGGTGTCCTGGATTTGAAAAGTTCAACAAAAAAGGAAAAAAGCAGGAGCTGGAATGCAAATTACATGTATCCTGATAGCCTTCGACTACTGTCAGAAAAAAAAAGTCAAAGTGGATCCAGCATAAACTTTATTGACGTCACTGGGCAGTCATTTTGATAAGGAATTTCACTCACTTTTATGCCAACAATAAACAGTATTAAAGGGTAAGCAGCAATGTTCAAGTTAATAATTGTATAATACGTAAAGGAGATTATCATTCCAACCCTGAATGAGGAACCGAGAGTGTGTTTTTTTTTCAGAGGCCTGCAAAAGGCAAAATCCCTTCCCTCCCCTGAATCTCCGCATATGAATTTGTGCAAGTCATCATCATATTTGGCCAGCATTTTAACAAGCGATTCATGTAAAACTAAATCAGGAAATCACAATCCATTGTAATACTTAGAGGAATAGGAAGTCAAACATTTCTTTCTTTCCCTCTTTGGTTTGTCATTCTTCTATAATTGCCCACCAGCTATATACCGGAATTGTGCTGTAAACACGTCATGCAACACTGATGCAGATGTACATATTACTAGGACAACCTGAAGACTGCAGAATACGTCATGCATGTACTCAGGCTGGTGATCTTCAATTGACTTTACTTTTACTTGAAGTCCCAAAATCTACTTATAATGCCACATCATTTGATGAACCTAAAAGCAAATGTTAATCAATTTTCCCGTACGCTGCAGGAATATGAAAAATATCATCATCACCTGGTCTAATTTTTTTCTTTTCGGGGGTGGGAGAGGGGGAGGTTGCACACAAAAAAGGAAGCTAATGCTTGTACCAGTACTGCTACATGTACTACTAGCAAAACACATCTGCAGTCATCTAGACAATACATATACCTGTGTTAGTTCATCCCACCACCATTAGTCAATTATTTTTTCTTCCTAACTCATGGCTGTAGATGACTGTTTTGAAAACTAAATGGGGATAGTAAGTCCCAATTTCATCTATGATCTGCTAATAATGGCATGATTGATAAAGCACCCCTTATCCAATGATGATTTCCGCCAAATGTGCAAATGTGATTATGCCTTTTTTTATGGCACATTTTTACAATTTGTCAGTCTGTCAGTAGGTACATCCCTATTTGTCTTAAAAAGATTTGGGAAGCAGATGATTTAATCCCCTTTTTAACATTTTGACATGGGCGGGGAGATTGGTAGTGCCTGACCAATCCCATGTCAAAATGTTAAAAAGGGCAATTCATCAAGTCCAAGCGTGGTCCCAGTTACTCGGACAAGGAAACTGACCACAAGTTGAAGTACATATAGCCAAGTGGTACACCATAGCCAACTTTGGCTGACATGGCTGATAACAACCCTAGTTATGAAGCAGGTCTTAACAGTACAACAGCCACAAGTAAGTCAAATGGTTATTTAAATCACAGATGTACATGTACATTGTAGACATTTAAACTTAAGCAAACATCTTGACTTGACAAGATCAAAAGCAATATTAATTATTGTGTTAACTTCATTGAACCTTAAGCGAAACATGTCGACCGGACCTTAGGCCTACTTTGAAATGATACCAACCTTCACGAGCTTTCAAATAAACTGTGTTGGCCACAATATTTTCTAACTCCATAACATAAGTCCCCCCTCGCCCGGGGCGCGCAATTATCCGCGGTCAGTGTTGAGTTGAGGCGAGTTTTGCCGACGAGAGTGTGCCGTCAAAAATTCACTGGGTGTGGTGGCCGGACGGTCCCGCTGGCTGGCTGCAAATCCGTGTAACAGAAACGTCCAGTTCGCTCGGTAAATCGTACAAGAAATCACAATGTTGCTGTATCGTACCGACTTTGGAATCTCGCTTTCGTCACACCAGAACGCCGTTGGAGATTCAGTGCATGATATCAGTGAGAACTCATGACATTATGCAGGTAACAAAAAGCGGCTATCATCGACACAATCCGTGTGAGGAGTTGGACAATCCGGTGATTTCACATTGCAGGATATTTTAAATGATGTCCGCAAGTGTACAAGTGCGTACGCACACAGCGCCGTCCCATTTATTTGCACACTCTTTACACTAGCGATATTTGTGTGCAACAATATGGCCGGCTTGTTAGGAGTATACCATTTTCCAGTTGTAGGGGCTCTCGCTTTTTCTGTGTGTTTTTTCAGCAGGGCCGGTTAGTGCAGAAACGTGTTACTACCTCACATAATTTTTTTTCACGTACGTACACGTTGGTTTCAGTACTGTTCATGCATAGTAAAAACTATCACGTACGTACGTGACGCTAATACTAATAACTGTTTTCACGCACTTACCTGAAGTTACAGGTCAGGTCGTGTACGTACGTAATAGTTTTCATATACGTACGTGAAAGAAAAACAATTATGTGTGTGGCGGTAAGACGTTTCCGTAGGATAGAACGTCTACGCAAGTTTGTTGTAAAATTAAAATGGAAGTTTAAATTACTTTGCGAGATGAAAAGACAAAACTTTTTATGTGGACGCAGATGAACGCGTACATACATGTATATACAGTTGTGAACAACTTTTCTTCTTTTTTAATGGTGTAAATTACCCAGCGTAATCCTTTTCCAGAAAACATGATGAACGTCACTTTCCAATGTATTTCATTTCTAGAAAGCACAGCATTTTAAGAAAGGCAAGTTGAAGAAATCAAGTCATCAGAAAGATCATTGACGCACATGTGAAGAGGGTCATCAGGGGACTGGAGATTACTAACAATGCTAGTGAATTTAAAATCCTTACATGCTTGTAGGCGCCGCTTTTTTTTTTCTAGTGGGCAGGTGTTTTTTCCCAGGCGGGGAAGAAGCAAAGCATTTGACTGATGAACTATTGTTCAACCAAATGGGTGACTTTCATCCCCTTTCCCTCACTTTGTTACTTCGTTGTTTCTCTCAGTGTTTTTGTCTTTTATTTTTTACCTTTTTTCATATTTTTCTTTTTTTTTCGGGGTGGGGGTCACAGAGCCCTTGTCTCCCACGAAGGAAAAAAGGCCTTGTCAGAGTGGTATAGAGTACTCTATCGTTTGCGGCAATTTTGGTCAACTTGTGGTCAATTTTGTGTTGCGAGTTTGGTGAAAGTCGCAGTACATTTTGTCCGACCTCCTCGCGACGTTCGGCGCGAAGGTTTTGCGCCCTCCCCGAACTCGCCCGAATTAGGATGCGACTTTGAAAACAGTTGCGAGAATTACATTTTGCGGCCACTCACAAGCAAGTTTTTTTACGCAAAACCGAGGTCAATATCAGTCTGAGTAGTTTCCACTTTTCCGGGCGTCCCACATAAATTCTCCAAAGGATCGCCTAATAGTTTCGAGACATCTCAAGCTTCTCAAATCTATCGCGGGTTTTGCTTTTACCCGATAGCTTTAATCCAAAGCTGTAAGACTTATTTTGCCCGACGACAAGAATTCACTTGTCAAAGAGACAAGTTTTCGGTGCACTCTAAGAGCCTTTGAAAAAAAATAAACACGCTGGCTCCGATGGGATTCGAACCAATGACTTTCTGTTTACTACAGCGCGATTGTCTTACACTCGACCAACGAGCTGTTCGAGGTTGGATTGTTTGTTCGGATCGATATGGCATTAGGCACCGCAGTGAACAACCAAAATGTTAATGAATGTCTGGGTTGTCAATAATTATTTTGTCAGTATGACAAAGTAACAGCTAGATTTGCCTCGATGACCAGAACCCTACACATCGAGGGTCTTCTATGTGACAGGCCTTATCTTGTCTTCTGGCAGTATGAGTCGAATTCTTGTCAATATCTTGTCAGTGTGACAAGCGGAAATTTTTGCGTCCCACTAGTCACGGTGACCAGCAAACCCACCCATCACAATGTTTTCGGCATTGCTTGAGTCGCGGGGCTGACAGCCCTACACTTTGTAATTAAACTTGTGGCACATGTGGAGGGGTTAGGAGTTTTAGCTCCAGAAGTTTTCACTTGCACTAGCACCATTTTCCAAAGTCAAAGCCATCGCCATCGTTGTAGCTGCTTTCTTCTTCAGAAAAGGCAATATATCATTGAATTTTAATTGCTTAAAATCGAAATCCCTAAAAACAATGGTATTAAAAATGAAATTAGAGCCCTTATCTGCAACGAAGTCATCGAGAAGATCTCAGGTTGGAGGTGTACACTTGTTGTGCAGTCCAATGAATTGCATTACTGGTTGCCATTGCGCTGCCGATTTAGAACTTGCCCCCAGACACACCCACCCACTTGTGTAACCACTTGGGCCCAACAACGCCCGATTCGTTAAGCTCCCACACTGCAAACGAATTGTGAGCTCATTTCAGGCTGTCATCCTCTTTCGTTGGTACTTCGTGGTTAGGCCTAATCCATCGATTAACCCGGAAGCAGGAAAAACAACATCGACGCGACCTGACCAGGCACGCGGGCAAACTTAAATGGCATGCATGAGAGGTAGACCGAAGACAACGTTTTCAGTGGGAGGGGTCGGGTTGGCCAAACCTTGAGAGATTTATTAATCTGAACTCCATATGACCTGCAGAAGAGAGAAGTCTAATACGGGGGCTTTTTAAGCGCTGTGAGGAGGAGGGAAATGAAATAGGCCCCAAAATAGCTTCTTTTGTTATACTAAAAAATACATTTACCTGTTTACATGGGACGGCCCTATTGCCAATGTGAGCGCGTCATCTTTCTGAAAATGTTGACCGTTCGAGTATCGGAGACATTTAGTGTTCCTCTGAATCCATCTCATCAAACGCAGTTTGTGGACGAGATACGGCCATGTCCAACGATCTGTCTATAGACGCACAGTGGGGGTACCTTAGTTTTGAAGCGTGCGCAAGCGTTGATAAATGATACCACACATGCCCGCGCTTTCTTGACATCACGTAGCTGCATTCGACCAATAATGTAAGATCGTGTCCCAGACAAATTCCTAACCTACAGTATTCACTGAGCTAAAATGTCATCGGATTTTTATCTTAGGCACCCCTCTTTAGATTTAATTTGAGAATTTTCGTTGTCACTGCAAGGAATATGAGGCACAGATGACAAAATGATGGACTGGACCACTATGAGCCCCGAACTGGACAAAAAGAGGGCGCAATTTTCCCAGCAATGAAGGCCACAAACTTTTCACAAATAACGGTTTTACGCGCAAGACTGGTGGTCTATGTATCTATATGTCTGTGACGAAGGCTCCCTTGGTCGGAACACAGACGTATTCGTCCGCGGGGAGTCGGAACTGCACCTCGCTGCATGGTTCACAAACGTCTATGACATGCACGCGTTACGGTACCAATGACACTTCCGATGACATTGCTCTTTTCAACCGATGAGGGTGTGCTTCGATCCGCTCAAGACGGATAGCAAACTTGCAAGTTAGATGAAAAATTTGACAACACCGTTGACAAAATGGATCAGATCTGCATACGCAATCAAGGGAAATTTCTGAGTGGCAATGAACTGAGACTTATAGTTATTTTTTAAGGGTCAGTCTCTATGTTTGACTGAAACCATTTCATGTAGCATTCATTACCTTCAGAAAGATGTTGTTGTTGTTGTTGTTGTTGTTGTTGTTGTTGTTGTTGTTGTTGTTGTTGTTGTTGTTGTTGTTGTTCTCTCACTGGCAGTGGCCTTTAAACTACACTGGGTAAGATTTCTGTGGGGGTACTGGGGTTGCACAGATTTTCATTTTCAAGATGTCACATGAAAACAAATGAATTGCAGGTTGTATGCAACTTTCAAGGGTAAACCTTGAAGCACGGACTTCTGCTGGGGAACCCCCCATACGTCACTGCATGGTATCCCCTCTCACATTTTAAAGCAAGCACATGTTTCTTACCCTCCTTTGTCGCAAGTTACAATTATTTAGATGGCGTGTGATGCGTATTATTTTTCGCTGAAAGGACCCTTTCTGGTGTTCAAAAATGGTCAAATAACAGACGATCTCTCTTCTTTATCTGCCGTCTTTTGCGTTGCAGGGGAGAGGCAAGCCAGGGACACTTGTCCCCCGAACAGGGCCAGGGGGAAACATTCAAGGGAAGCACAGAGTATGACAGAACAAAAGAAAGAGAAAACAGTTAATGTTTGTCGAAACGCCTCTGAAATAAGCCCCTTCACCGTTGATGGTTTGTCAGTCTGCCGCTGTTGATAAGTGATCCTCTCCAGAAAGGTCCCTTTCCTGGCGACGCCCAATATTACTTTCTAATTATTCAGTGATACCACACAACTAAAACGTCTTCGAAGACATTTTCGCTCAAGAGTTCATCTGTGTACCGCAAGAAAGTGTTAATAGACATTTTACTAACGTCATGAGCAGGATTGGTGACAACTTTAGGAACACCATAAATTGGCTTTGTATCAAGGAGGGCTCATATGGGAGTCTTTATGAAAGGTGATCCCGATGTTGTTCCTTTTATAAAGACGGGGAAAGAAGGTTTACCAATAATGTGCTTCCAGTTCATATAAAAACGAACTTTAACTACACCCGTCCCTAAATGGAATCTACAGCAAGTACGAGGTCAACTGCTTGCCAGTGACGAAAGTCTGTTCCAGCTATTTCAGCTGAGGATTAACAAAATCCTGAAATTCCCCAGCCACGGAAATTCAACGAGTGGGGGGGGGCACATTATTACACCGGGGTGCATCTCATGTACAGTGACTGATTAATACATGTTTTATTACTTTTAAACAGTACTTTCAAGGTTTAAACTGTTTGTTCTTTGTTTTGGCTGCTGGAAAGTTCGAAATAACCTCAAATGAGCACTTTTGTTTCATACCCCAAATAGGGGAAGGGGTAAATTTGCTAATCCTCTAGTAAATTAAATAGATAAATAATAAACATAGATCTATATAAGTAGCTCTTTGATAAAAAAATAATAACTGGTAAAAGGAGATAATACCCCTCACCCCGTTACTACTCTGAAGTCTGTTCATGCGGACTGTATTAAGACAGAAAATAATCAATCAGTGCCTTGTTTGGATTGTTCAGAATGTGGCGAAGGCTCAGTCCATTTTTATGAATAATAATGTTTTAAGGGCAAAACTGCAAGACAACAAGAATAGCCACCCTATAATCCCGCCCCCCGCCTCTTCCTCCGCTCCCCGGCCCCGTCTTAATTGCAGAAACACGAGAGGGCGCTGTTACCTACACGCGGATATGCGTGAACACGGGTAAACCGTCCATAGTATATTAGTCTAACTTCTTGGAGTTCTGTCAGTCTGTGATAAATGCATTTCAGTTCACGGCAGTCAGGCACTGAGGCGGTAGGCCTAGGGCGTATTATCTTTTCTGATGAAACGGCCTGGTAATCCTGCAGTAATCGATGAATGAGTTGCATCTGTTGAACACTGCTATTGGATATTGTTAGGGAAACTTGTTCAGGTCTAGAGCTAGCTCTGTGTGTCAATTAGCTGAAGTTCAGTGCCGTGGCCAGCTGACTTCAAGTTCAAATTTTCGATTCATGTACTTTCATTGTCGACATAATTTTTTATTCGTATGTAGGCCTAGTACGTCTACATAGGCCTAATCATGCAGGGTTACTATTGTACATGTTCATGTATTACGCAGAAGGCAGGTAGACCAGTAAACAGGGCCCTACATTGCCACTGTATGTCATGACCGTGCCTGTATATCGATGGTGTACTGGTATAATGCAGGGCCCTGTTTGTGGGTCTAACAGTAGGCTACATACTTATAGTACATGTACATAGTACAATATATATACAGTTCTGGCAGGGACCAGGTAGGCCTGCTGTTTCTGTTGTTCTCTGTTGAGGGGGTGCTTTATGGAATTCCATATCTGCCGTCGTCCATCGCATTTTGCTTTTTGTTGTGTCCCAATTCTGCCATTTACCAGTTCCAAACATGCCATTTTCCGTCGTGCGTCGCCTGCGTGCATCGCCCATCAAATGGGTTGCATAGGACCTGCAAAAGCCGTTGTTTAACAAATGACAATGTGATGATTCCATTCACTTCTAAAGATCTTTTCCGAATAAGGCAAGTACAAATCCCACCTGCCAAGCATATACTAGTCACATAATTAATTCCAATAATGCTAGACTACCCCTGCCCCTTGACAAGAAAATATCGCCTCTCTGAGAATTCAACCAAGTGTTTTTTGGGGAAAAACATTTTCAGCAAAAATTGTTCCGGCCAACTTATCCACAGTGTTATTCTAATTTACATACTGTAAAAATGTGCCGAAAAGGGTAAAAGTTAAAAATACCACTGCGCAATCATGACCAAAAAAAACACGGGCGACGCGCGACGGGCGACGCGCGACGCACGACGGCAGATATGGAATTCCATACTGTTACGAGGTCTGACAAAATTGTGGCTACTGTCCCGGCTTACTAATTTTAAGGGGGAGCGGGTGGGTGCGTGAGTGTAGCGATTCTTTCCTCGCTTTGCACCAATGAGGCCCGGGTTCGAGTCCCGGCTTGGCCCAGGCTTTAAGTGCACTTGGTTTCCAGTCCATACTTGCTCTCACAGGTTTTCTCCGGGTACTCCGGTTTCCTCCTGCCTCTACAGCTGGACCATCTTCCTAACTCCGTAATGTAATGCTGATGAATAAAGTGTATGAATAAACGTACAGTTATTGGCGTAAATAGCCCGAATTGCTGAAAGCGCCATTAAAACAAAACAACTATTTTTAAAGATGTTGAGAGCTATACCTTAAATAGAAATACTACCTTGCAGGCATTTTTTGGGATAATGTTGATAATATTAAATTGTAATGTGACAGTTTTGTAATTTCAGAATTTTTGTGAATGCAAAAAAGTCCATTTACGTGCTGAAGTTCATAATTGCAATTGAATGTTTCTTAAAATTATTTTTAAAGAACATTTTCAGAATTCTGCTGTCAAAAGTGGCATTTATAAAGCTGAAAATTCTCGTGAAACACTTCCCGGATTGGAAGAGGTGTAATTTTGTATTTTGTATAGCTATTATAGAACTAGGAAATAATCTACAGAAAAGTGTACATTGGTAAAAAAAATCTACAGATTCAAAATAGACTGATGTCACAAAAATAGTTTAATAACAGTTTTAGATGGTGTTCTCATTGGAATAAAAAACATTTTTAAATGTTTTAAAACATCAAATGCACATTTTCAACAGTAAAGTGACTCATTAAAAAGTATACACAGAATAAAAAGTGGTCCTTAACTTTGAGTAGTCTACATCAGCTAATCTCTGAGCACAGTTTAGCTTTTTCTAGAAATGAGTGTACGTGAATGTATCAAGGAATATGTACATGTCTACATATATCCCTTACTAGTACACTGATCTATTGGGCTCTTGAGTTTGGAAGTCAGGTGACGCTGGTCAGCTTTCTATATACATGTAAAATAAATGTCGAGGGGTGATGATTAAAGGAATCTATTGTTTCTTCTCTTAGTTTCAGATTATTGACTTTGTCAGGTGTGAAACTTTGTTTCATGTTATTCATGATGAACATAATGATTTTTCTGTGAAGTTCAGTTACCTGCCTTGGAGCAAGCAGAAACAGTTGTTCAAGGCTTCAGGGTGGTTAAAAATTTACCAAATTTAAATCTCAGGTTCAAGTGGAAGATCAAAACACTGTAACCACCTGGGAAATTAGGATCCTCCCAGGCAGGATCAAGCCCCTGTAAGACTAAGAAGCAGGCTTGAGGTTAACTGTGTTCTCAACTACCATGATGGATAAAAAAAATCTCAAGGTCTAACAACCACTGTCCATTGCAAACTGGCCTGAACATGTATAATACATAACAAGGAAAAGTCTGAGCCCACAACCTGTCAACTCCAAGATATCCATAGTGTTAATCTACTGGACAATTACTGTTCATTAACATGGCACTGAGCGTGGGTTTGTATGTTTCTCAGACACATATATAGTAAAAAAGACAACAGGGTTTGGAACTGAAAGATACAATCAAAATGTAGATTTACACAAACTGCTGGACCACTAGCAGATACAGACATTTCAAATTCTACTTTAACGCTCAAAGAACTGGGGGAGGGGGAATTCCACCCACCCCAAGAACTCAGCTGTGTCAAGCTCAATTTTTTAAAAATTTGGCATACATGCAAGGACATTCCTCACAATTACCACAAAGTGAAGTTAGAACTCGATCAGACACCTTGTTCCGTCAGTCATTTAAGGCTACATGCATGTCAGCCGGCCTGCACCACACGTGGAAAAGTAAACATTATTTGGCTGACCTGTCTCTGAAAAATGCACGCTGCACAAGAACTGTTCATTTTTCACAAAATTGGTCTCAAAATGACTGCAAAGCATTACTCTAAAAGCTCACTGTAAAAGCTATCGAAGGCTCAGCTCCTGAAAAAAGTATTTTATTACCAGGGTATTGAAAAAAATGAAGGGGAAGGCAGATTCTCCCAACCCCCGGCTTTTAAGGCCTCCTGTTTGAGAAATAAAAAGCAGTTACAAAATGAAAAATTGTATCAAATCAGCTGTTTTTATTCATTACTTGAAATATTCCATTAGTTCTCATGATCCACATTCTACAAAAATATCGCAGTATTAAATATATAATTGCGTCCCTTTGTGAGTTACATGTACGTTTTATACAAATACAGGGATAAGAAAAAACTGAAATACAAAGATTTGACCTTTCTCATGTTCTCACAGTCGCATTTCAGAATTAAAAAAATGTTTTAGCATAGACTAATTACAGCTTCCTGTGTGGACAGAAGATATGACAACAGTATTTCAAAGTCTGTGATTTGATTTCCCCTCTTCAGCTTCAGAACAAGAAAATATTACTTGTCCTAAAACATTTCTGGTGCGTGCACATATCACTTACAACTTCACCTCAGTCTTTTCTTCTTTTTCTCAATTTGATCCAGATGATGAAAAATGTACATGTATACAACTGAAAACAAGGTTATGTACATTTGTTTGAAGAATGTACAATTTTGGACAACTGACTTTTACACTTTCTCAAGGTGTACCTGATTACATTGGGTGTGTTACACTGTTAGTGTGCAGTGTGTTAACACTGTATACCATGTGTCAGACTTTTTGGGCTTGCAGTATAAATACATTTACAAATGCTACAAAACACGAGACACACACACACAGGACATTGAATTCAGAGGGTAAAGCATATTCCCCTGTTGAATGCTTACATTTAAATTCACCTTTTATACTAACTTCACCTGTAAGTATTCCCCAACCCTTAGGTTAAGCCCCATATGGCCACACCCTTAATTTAACAATTCACAAACTTTGGTCAGTTGTACATATACAGGTAATTATTGTAAAACAGAGTCCTTATATTTTTTAAGCAATTATCTCTTGTACATGTAAGTTTTATAACTTCCTCTATCCCTAAGCTCTGCACATGGATGCCAAGCCTCAACATTACTTTTTAACTGAATTCATCTCTTATGTTTATGAATACCTACACCTGCATGTCAAGAAATCTTTGTGAAACATGCACCGACAAGTATGTGCTATGGGGGCCTTCAATTTTTTTGAGAATTTTCTGAGAATTGAACTACACTCTACCTGCAGTCACTGCTAAAAGTACTATTTATTAATAAACTCTCTTTACAAAAATAGTGCCAGAATGTACTGGATACTTAGTATTTTATTCAAAATACATGTAGTCAACTTGCTCCAACTGGGGGGGGATGTGAAACTGTTCATTTAATGGGGCAAGTACATAAATACTACTTTATACAAAGCATCTCAAGATACACAGTCGGCACTCTAGGTACAGTTTCCTTGAAACATGCACGTAATTCCAGTGATGTGCATTCTTTTACCGCAAGACAGTTCTGTATGGTATCTCACTTAAGTGATACCGGTATATTGTATACATGTATAGCAAAACAATAACTGACATCATTATTAGCCAGGTACATGTATCATTGGTTTATAAATGTGGGATGTGTACTTCTTTGGTTCATGTGAACAACTGTAGTCAAAGGCGACCCATGACATGCCGTACATTAACACAGGGTGGACACAGAAGTGAGCCAACTAGGGCCATAGTTCCCTTAAAACAGAGCAAAAGCATTTCTTTTAAATATGAGAGAAAACCAGTTTTGGGGTCTATTTCACTCTAATTGCAAAAAGACCCAAAGGGTAACTTAAAACCTCACTGGGCCATGAAAGGTTACAGAATTTTTTGCCTTCCCAGATTTGGTTCAGGGTCTGCGTTTCCTTCAGTGCATCCATTGTGATGAGGGTATTTAAACATGTCTGAGAAGAATTCTTTGTCAACACTGTCAACGTCATCTTAATCTTCTGATTAAATCTACATTTTAATGAATGAAATAAATAAGCTAAAGGGATAAATTGAACATTTGATTTCCAGGCACTATGGTTTTATAAAGATGGGCAATTCCTTCAAAGCCATGTTCCCTATGAAAATTCCCTCCTTTCCTTCAAACTCAAGAACATGCAAATAAGAGACACATAGGATTGAGGTTTAACCTTTACCAAAAGAAAGCTTATATCATTGGCCTTGTAGGCATGTGAAATCAGAAATTTCTTGTAAACCTGGTCACTTTTAGGTCACCTTCAATCAAAGTGGGTCAGATTTTGCGGGATAAGGGCTATGTCATTATAGTCCAAATGGCTCACCAAACTAGGCAAAAGAAATGAAATTGGTCATGTCTCCAAGAAACCAACTACACACCAAAGGTGGTTCATTTTGATATTCATTCAGCAACCTTGCCAATATGGTGAATCAGAAGAGTTTGACACAATTTCTCAGCACAGAGCGAACAAATTTGTATTTAATAAGGCGGAAAAACTACTTTTCTAAATAAGTTTCAACTAAATGTAATTTTACATTTATTAGTTCAAGGATCTATCCTGACTTGGATGAGTGCTCAAGCACTCTCAGTTTCTTTCCTTGGATTCCAGCAGAGGGTATGAATGTAAAGAAAAAGAAGGAAAACAAGAAGAGAACAAGTGCTTGACATAAGTCCAGTGGAGAAACATGCACCAGAGATTGGCACCGACTAGCCCTATGGTCTTGCAGTAGCCAGCAGAAAAAGCTGGCACTAAACAGCTTTTGTTTCGTTTTTTCATCAAATTGTGAGAAAACAAGAATGAAACCTGCAGAGCTACAATGTAGGGTGAATTTCAGCAGAGGCGATGAAAGATTTAATTCTGCGCTTTGTTGCAACTTTTTATATATTTCAGCAACTGCAACTTTCAGCTTTAAATCCAACATTCAGATATTGTGGACTGTAAGAATGTGGTTCTGGGAGGTGTTTGGCATTGAAAGTGTACACAGAGTGACCCAACCTGCCATTACTCAAGTTACTGTCTACTTTGAGTCAGAGGACAATCTGTGTTACATGTACAGGTACATGTATTATAAGCCTACTGGTACTGTATATCTTCAGCATCAAAGCCATTCTACATTTTTGGTGTTGTTTCATGCTAGGAAATACCACAAATCATGAGAACATGCAAGAAAGGGGACAAATGTACCGGTACACTTCACAAGGTTGCCTTCTAACAGGCTCATTTTCATGATCAGGAGAAGGCATACATGTACACTGTCAGTTTTTATGTTACAAATGCTCAATTATATTTTACTTGTGTTATCTGAAAGACAAAGTACTGCTTATATTTTGCCATTTACTAGCATGTGGGGGCATACATGTAATGAATATATACATGTAAATATTAATTTGATATTATTATACAAATGTGACAAATGAACAAAATTGGCATAAGTTCCATGAAACAAAGTTATCTCACTTGATTTACATACAATAGTCTTCAATAACTTTAATGTAAATGAAAACAAGGAAAAAGCAAGACAAATACCTGTACCATTAAAATTCCCCGAAGAAGACAACATGATTAAACTTACTGACCATCAAATAAAGTAACATTATAGCATCTAATATCAAAATAGTCCAACTTCTCAAAATACATTTTACCTTAAAAATTAAAATGTTATGCCAACCTTGATATTGAACTAACAAATGGCATGCAAGGGCAAAACTTGAGAAAAACCATCAGGATGAATAGGCCACTCTGGAAAAGCCACTCAGGAAAAAAAGGTTTGGATTTGGAAAGTGTTAAAATGAGCTTCTTTGTAGTTGCCACCCTAACATTCTGCCAAATGGACACAAGAAAGTCAATTTTTCAAAGACAGAGAAGGCTTTCAAATTCATCTTGACTTAAAAGAAGCAAAGATCTGCAAGGCATCAATATCAATCAGACTGCACAGAGAAATGCATCTTGAGAGAAAAAGGCAAGGAAATGCTACTTTCATGGCCAACATGCCCATAAATACCACTGCACCCTTATACACACAAACCACTCCTTAAATGTATGTGCGTGCTTTCATGAAGAAACCTTAAAGAATCAGAATCTTTCTGCATCAGACATGAGACAGAAAACTGAAAACAGGAAGATGCACTGATAACAAGTGAAGTGATGCATTGTTCAAGTACATTCAAGTTTGTTCACAAAGCAAACATTTACAGGGCTTTTCCAAAGACAACACTCGATATATTAAGTCCTAAAAGTTAACTACCGTAGTTTGCTACAGTGCTCCAAGGAAATTTAAATTGGAATTTTTGAAAGGCGAACCAGTAAATCAGCAATCTTAATTATTTGTGATGTTCAGGCTGTCAAAGTTTGGAAAGAGCTTCATGCCATTGTGTGGATCACTGGCTCCTGGCGCTTCCATATTGTTTGCACTATTGCTAGTGGCTGGAACCAGTGAATCATGCATGCTCCACCATGCATGCTTCTATCACACACAGCATGCATGCATGCACCACATGCACCACATGCTTCTATATGTACCACCCCACATTAGGGGGAAAAGTGGCGTTAGCCTACCAAATTAAGACTGCTTTGACACTTTGACACACTGACACACATCTTATTCTGTTGATGACTTACATGTACCAGTACATGAAGCTTTATAACATCAGATTATATGCTGCATGTTACAGATCTGTGATACAGCGAAGTCTACGCTAATGTGGTTGCATTGGTTATATGCGTGAACCATTTCCCCTGTGCAAGCTGTGATGTAGGGAGCAACCATTGTATGCAGTGCCATGGAGCTCAATGAAACTAAAACCAACATTGCTGGCAGTGCTACCATGTACCCAGACAAATCTGCCTTTGGCTTGGTTGCTTGACTGTAACTTTGGGCACGTGTCTAAAAGACTCACCTTTTTTTACTAATTTCAAAACTGGTAGAAATTTAAACATGGAGAAATCTCACACCTGTTTCATCTGTGGTGAGAGTAATTGGATTTTCTTGAAGACTGAAAACACATATTTTGTGTGTGTGGTTTTTCATAAAAGCAGAGAAAATGTAGATTTCTCTGAGTTTCATAGGTACCCTGTGGGCATGCAAACTATGACTAGTGGCAGGTCTTCATATGCATGCCCTCTGCCAAGACCACCCCTCCAAAACTTTCATGCAATCAGCATAATATTAAAATAAATTATACAAGAAAAAATCTGAAAAACACCAAAACTATTTTTGTTGGAATTTTGTTGAAGAAATTAACCCACGTAAGTTTCCACAATGTAAAGAAACCACATGCATTTCTCCAAACAGTGAACAACAGTTACTTTTGCAGGGATGTGAGTGGCCACTTAAAATTCCATGTAAAGATGAAAATGGCTAGCAAAAAGCAGAAGCATAAAAAGTTCCTAAACTTTCGTACAGACCAGGTGTGCAAAAAACTGAAATTCAGGGTCAACATCTAAAAAAAAGCTGAAATCAGCTGAAAAGCTGAATTCTCACACCCCTGTTCTTGTTTACTCACACAAATAAATTGCCGAAATATTTCATAATGATTCTATGTTACCACAACGTACATGTAACTGGCTCCAAGCAAAGATACCCCTTCAATGGAAACAAAAAAGAGGCTGGTTGAAACTCTAACAATACTGCTACCGTGCATCTGGTGGGCTCAAGAAAACGTACACAAACATGTAAATGCATGCAGGAGGACACTGTTACTAGATAACAGAAAGCCCTTCTCTTGTTCAAGCACAGAGTTTGTAAACATACATGTACAACCTTACTGTAAATAATGATTAAGCTATAAATAAACAAATACATTGGCCTCATGATGTGTAAGGAAACAGGCACTTACAAATAGAAAGTTTCCAAATACTTCGAATGGAGAGTTACATGTTCATGTAGTTGCCCTTCTGATGTGCAAAACATGCTCCAAGGTGATTAGTCAAGTACTTTAGGAAGAAAAATGGGATTGCTCTGATGTGCCTACTTATTACCGTACACATTTCGAAGCATTTCAAAATAGCGAATGACATTTTTCAGACCAAACAAGTAATTCTCATCAGTTCTGTCAGCCTCAACTACGTGGGTGAAATCAATCATTTTTACAAGAGCCAATTTACTTTCAGACTCTTTTTCCTCTTCTATCTGATTGGTGGCTGCACTGGCTGCTTCTTCTGACGGTAGAGTGTCTGTGTTAGCTTTCAATGGCAGCTCCTCCTCCTGTTTGAGGGGTGATGGCAAATCAAATTGTGAGTTTGATTGACTCAAACTCCCCTGCCTTTCTCTCATCTGAGACACTGTAAGCCTACCATTTATGTCAAGTAGTCGGGGCTCTGTTTGAACTCCATTGTTGTCTCCCCACTCAACACCATTACTGAGTCCCCCTTCTACTGGGCCTGCACCACCCCTGCCCCCAAACTTGGCAGCTATGGACTCCTGGTAGGTTGGCAGCCGATTGATGAATCCATTCTCTACTGGAAGGTGTTCTTCCTGCTCAAGAAAAGCACTAGAATTGGAAGGAAGACCTTCTGGTGCAGATGCGGACTGCTTGGATTTTGGACTCACTCTTTTAAGCTGGGAATAACTCACGAAGTTTGGTGGGCTGCTGCTGATACCATCATTTTCTTGGGCTGTGGGGGTTTCTACCACAGACTGAGCAGAGGCAGGAGTCACAGCACCCTCGTAGACAAACAGCAGAGAACTGGAATAGAAGTGGAGCTGCTTCTGGTTGGTGAACCAACGCTCAATTCGCCGTATTTGCTTCAAGAACTCTGGCACAACATCAATCCTAACATCATCCACAACATTCAGATACCTAGCAAACCCTATGAAAAAGGCAAAAGAAAAAGTCTAGATAGCAACACCCACTAAACACGTAGCAATGATGCCAACTGTTGTTCTCAACAGCAAACTTATCATCCTTTAAGGCCCTTTAGTTGAAGCCACTTTCACTGGCTAATATTAAACATCGTTGAATGGTTCTGAATACCAAACAAAACAGTGCAGAGTGCAGTGAATCATGGCAAAGGGTCTAAACAGCGTGCCCTGAGTTAATCAAATACTACATAATGACGAACAAAAACATGTATACTCCAAACACTTATTTTTGAGGAATCTGCTGACATTACAGGCAAAAAGTAAGAAGGCGATATTTGAAGGGCTGCAGAGGGTCAAAAGTTTTTAGTACCAGAAGAAATATTTATGCTTTAACACCGCCAGTTCAAAGGGTATTAAGTCTGAATATTAGATTCCATTCATGTACTGTACATGATTTTAACACCTTAATTGATCTCAAATTCATAATTAAGGTGAATGTATTTGTCTTGTGCACAGGGCCCACTTAATGAGCATGTAAACAGAAAACTAATATCAAACCCTATACCCTGGAAGGCAGAGGTGGTAACAAGTAAATTTTTGCAAGTCTCAGCCAAGTCACAGGTCATTTTGTCCAGTTATAAGTCAAGTCACAAGTCATTTGATCACAGGTCAGGTCAAGTCAAGTAATAAGTCAATTTTGTCCAAGAACAACTGAAGTTGCACTACATGTATGTGTGATTCAAGCTACAGCCTAAAATTTTGGTTACAAGACTTTCCATACATGTAGTTATTCCACAATCCGCGACACAAACCACACAGGAAGGGTTTGGATATTTTGTTTGACCAGGAACGGCAACAGACTACGGTAAAAATGATAGGATATGCAATATTCATATCACTTGAGTGATGATCAGCAGAAGGTACATGTATGCGAATAATCAACTTGTCAACATGCCTGATCTGACGATCATGAACAACGTTTTCAAACCGAAACATCAGCCAACATCATGTTTAACTTTTTTTAAAATGGTTTGACTTGAGCACTCAAAAATAACCTTCTATAGTCTGGGGCAGTAGCCAAAAACTTGTGATGAGCGCAGATAACCAAAAAATGTGGGCCATTTTCAATTTTGCCATGTTGCACATTGTCAGACATTGTTGCACATAGCATGGTCACGAAGTACATGTATGATATCTAGGCTCACTTTAATACTCACAAATTTGGCCAATTTCTCTCCAAACTCTCCCCCCACCTAGAGTGGGATGAGTCTACTACTAACTACCTACCAGATTACCAATACGTATGCATTATTTCCCGGTCCATTACTTCCATTTGCTAAATTCTCGATCAGCAGCAGTGCACCCTCACTCTCTCGACTCCCGCGAAGGTGGCAGCCATGTTCTTCCTCTTTTTCAACGCGCAAAGTGCGCCAAGGTCACGAGGGGAGGAGGGAAGGAGATTGGTAATCTGGTACGTATGCAGTAGTTGACTAGTCCCACTCTAGATGGGGGGAGAGTCTACTCCCTGCAACCTACGCAGATTACCAATACATATGCAGAGTTACACCGAACCAGAGGAGAGCGGGAAGGCGAGCGTGCACCGACAACCCTGAACCCCAGGAGGAGTCACGTACAGCCTGCAATGAACAAAAATGACAGATTAGTAAAGGACTGCAAGAGCTAAGCACAAAGAACATCCCACCATTCACCATGTAATCGTCTTGAGTGCATCCACTTGCAGGGGGAGGGACAGCCATAACTGGAGCTACTGAGATTCCGTCTTGAGCATGGCCAGTCCATGAGAATGATCCCCCTGCAAAACATCACTGAGATAAATGAGGTAAATGTTGAGTGGAATTTCCAACAAGCGGCTGTACAAATGTCTGAAATCGGGACGCCTTTGAAATAAGCCCATGAGGAGGAGACGGCCCGAACATTGTGAGCACGTATATGGCATCGATGTTGATCATAAGAAGCAGTGGGCCAGTCTGAATTCGCAAACTTAATAGCAGAGACCACCCACCTGGCAATAGTGTCTCTGGAGGCTGCACGGTGAGACTTAGATGTAATGAGTAATTGAGTTACTTGCCCTCGGATGTCCTTAGTTCGGTAGAGATACCATTTGAGTGTCCAGACAGGACACCAGAGTTTGTCAGAGGTAGATGAGGCTAACGACCGGATGGATGGGATGAAGATGTCCAGTGGCTAAAATGAGGGTGTTTGGTTCTTGGTAAGAAAGCCAATCTCTGGAATTAGACGACCCCTAGAGGCTACCATCGAATATGGCCATCAGCAATGGACAGTGCTTTAATCTCGCAGCCTCGACGAACAGTGACGATGGCTAAAAGGAAGGCCAGCTTCATACCCAAATGAAGTAGGGTAGCTTGTCCTACCGGTTCAAAAGGGGGGCTAGCCAAAAGTCAAAGGACATCCCCCAGATTCCATGAAGGAACGAGTTGTCGGGTTGAGGGACGTTCAATAAACATGCCCTGAAGAAGATGATGGATCGCAGTGTTGTTAGAGATAGAGGATCCATCAGTAAACCTACCGTGGATAGCTGCCAAAGCCGAATGGTAGAGCCTGATTGCTGAAACAAGGAGGCCAGACTGGAAGAGATGCAAGAAGAACTCTGTTACAAGGGAAAGAGTTGCTTCGGTCGGATATGCAGAATGTTGTCAACACCCGGAGTTGAAACGTCAAATGCGGCTGTCATCGATCTTTCTCGTTGACAGCTGTCTGCCTCTGACAGCCTGCTGAAAGGATCGTTGGACAAAATCCAACACGTTAGGTGTAGGTGAAGAGGATCCAGATGGCAAGAGCCGGGTTGGAAAAGCAGGTCGTGGCATTGAGGGACCAACAGGGGAATGTCGACTAACAGCCTCACGATGCGGGGAAACCATGGCTGCCTCGGCCAGAAAGGAGCGATAAGAAGAATTCACCAATGCTCTTTCTTTATATTTGACAGGACTCTTGGGATCAACGAAATGGGGGAAAGGCATAGGCTAGGAGACCTTCCCATGAGATGCATAGAGTGTTGGTCGCCCAGCCTGGGGATGCAGAAATTGAGTACAGAATGTTGGGAGTTGAGCATTCAGATGAGAGGCAAAAAAGTTCACGAGCAGTCTGTCAGTTGCTTGAAAAAGAACACGAACCACCTCTGGTTGAGGAGTCCATTCTGTTGGACAAACCTTGCCCTGAGAGAGAGCATCGGCCAGATTGTTCTGTAACCCGGGAATGTGCTCAGCAAGTACCAGGACAGAGTGACGAATGGATCACTGAAGTACATCCCCGGCCAGCAAGCAAAGGGTAGGCAAGCAAGTGTCCCCTTGACGATTGATGTTGGTGACAGATGTAGCATTGTCTGATTGAACTAGAACTGTCTTGTTTGTCAGGAGCGGCAGGAAGTGACATAGAGCATTGAAGATTGCATGCAGCTGGAGAACATTTATGTGAGAGTCCTGCATGGCTGGTTCCCATTGGCCGGAAATCTGATACGGTGGCAGACGAGTTGTAAGAGCGCAAACCGTAGCAGTGATCGAAATAGCCTTCACTCTTGATCGACCTAGGATTAACCAGTTGTCCAGGTACTGAAACATGAGGACATTGGAACAACGAAGATAAGCCCGCACCGCTTGCACCACTCTGGTGAACGCTCTCTGTGCGGTGGAAAGCCCCAACGGGAGAGCGCGGAACGTACATAGCGTGTCTGTTCCCAAGCAGGTTACAACGGTTGATGAGCATGCCTAGGAGGCCCAGCAGGACGGCGCATTAGAGGAGGGAAACTCTGGGAAGAGGGGGGAAGATGAGGACTCTCCCGGTAGACGACACTTAAATGTAGGGCGCCCCCCGTCGTCAGACGGTGCATGTGTAGGCAGCCCCAGAACTTGAGTCATTTCTTGCTCACCAAAAGTGGCTCATCGTCATCTGGAGATTGACTAGAACCAGAAATATATGAGGAAAACTCAGGGCCGGAGGCAAAACCCACTGTACGGCTATCATCCATCGTGGGTTGAGAGGGCCCCGTGTCACAAAAGTTCTGAAATATATATTAGCAGTGGGCAGGGTCAGATTAGCTCCAGCCTGAAGGCCCGGCGGATGGACTGAGTGGGCAGAGATGTGGAGTAAGCCCGCAGGCAAGCGGTATGATAGCAGGGAAAACCAACCAATGCCACGAACGCTTGCGGAACCCTGCAGTATGGCGTTGGCGGACTGGACAGCAAGCTGAGCTTGTGGCAGCTCAAAAGCTGATACGGCTACGAGTCACCCAATAGCACTCCCGTGGGCAGACTCCGCCATGCCCGAGACGGCCAGTAGTGGGGCGTAGATGGGCCGGTAGGTTGCTGGGAGCTAGAAGACGGCCCGCTTCCTAGGGGGTGCGTGGACGGGGCCCGTGGGCGTGCAGCTAATCGACCAGATGTATCATCCCGAACGTGGGGACCGGCTGACAGACTGCTGTGAGTCACGAAGTAACTGGAAGAACCAACTTGCAATGTGGGTGTAGTACCCCGAACCCACCGAAAGGAAGGAAACAGTAAAACTACGCACTGTCCTACATGTATTTCCTAGGTTGGCAAGGACCGAAACCACCACACAACTGTTCTTACCAACCAAGCGATCCCGGGCCCGCGAACAGGCAAATGCTGTACTTGGAGTGGGGTTAGAAGCACAACTCTGAGAATTTCCCTCTCTAGACCTTAATCTAATGCACAAAAAAGGAGAGCAAAGCCAAAGAAAAACGCCAAAAAATTCAGCAAAAACCAGCTGAAATAAGAACAAAGAATCTCAGAATAACGAGACAACCGCTTTCAAGATATTCTTTTTTTTTTTAAGGATAAGCAAAATGTACATGAAGCCACAACTGTAGGCAAAACATGGCGGCCGCCTTCGTGGGAGTCGAAAGAGTGAGTGCCCACTGCTGGTGATCAATATGTAAATACAAACAAGAAATAACAAGCAGAATAAATAGACAAACAAAAAAAGAATTTTATTCTGAATCAAGAAATGTATACAAGAATAAACAGTGCCACCTAGGCGAAGTCTGGAAGAAGGTTAACAAAAACTAGGTAAAACAAAAAACAGCCTGTCACCTAGCACAAGGCTGAAAGGAGCAGCAAAAATACAAATAAATACAGGGGGAAAAGGAACCGTCTTACCGTTCACAAGAATGAGAATGGACAGACAAACAAAGTGATTGAGAAATAACACCGAAACCAAAAGGAGCGAAGGAAAAACTCTCGAAATTTTCAAAGCCGGACATAAACACGTCCGATAGTAATGGCGCCAAGAAAAAGAGAAAGAACATGGCGGCCGCCTTCGTGGGAGTTGAAAGAGTGACTGCGCAATGCTGGTGATTGAGGATTTTGCAAATGGAAGTAATGGACTAGGAAATAATGCATATGCGTACATGTAGGTTGCAGACAGTAGACTGGAAATTTACATGATGCCCAACAGATATCTGAATATAGGTAGTTGTTATAAAAATAATCTATTAGCGTGTCTTGAAGCTATGTTACTGTACATGTACAACCACCTAAACACAGCATTTTACATGGAGATTTTTGGCCTACCAGATTGGATGTCACAAGTCTTTTTTCCAAGTCCAAGTCATGTCACAAGTCAAAAACTGATAGTTACGTGTCGAGTCACAAAAGTAGTAACTCGAGTCCAACTCAAGTCTACATGTACATTTAAGTCAAGTGACTTGAGTCTACAACTCTACTTGAAGGACTCAAAATACTTGATTCATAAATGTATTTCAGGCTAACTTTGTTCACAACCACAGGATGTATCATGCACCTTTGGTCAGGATCTGCATGACAGAATGACAGTTTAGGAAAGGGCACCTAACAGTCCAAGTTCCCCCCCCATGAATAGCAATAGAGCCTGAAAATAAAAGTCACACAGCAAGCTTCTGGAACCCTTGCTCAGTCTGCCTATGGGAATTTCACATTTGGCCGTCCTGTCACGTTCAATAATTTTTTGGAAAAAAATTCCTTACTGAAATACCCCATGAAACACTCATCTTGTAATTTTACCTTGGTCTTCCTCAAGTAATATTTTGGAAAAGTTACCTGGAGATGGGTAGAAAACGAATTTTATTACCGACCTTTCACGTCCAGCGATATTGTACCTAGGTCTCCATGTTCATGCACATTTGTTTTCACTCGCCATGCTTTCTTGAAAACGAGATTGTACAGCCTTGCAAAGATTTACCTACCCGCAGTCGATGGGTTCCAGATTCTGTTAAGTTGACATCATGCAGTTGTTGTCAGCAAAGGTTAGATAAAATACAAGAATCTTTTGTAAAAGTGATATTGCTTTATATTTATTACCTTATAAATTATGAAAGTATGTAAAATGGTTTGATCTGTTTTTATTTTGGCTTTTACCCACAGACTACCATAAATTTCAAACCGTAAATGTTCATCTGCGTAGGACACTGCCACATTGTACTGTTTTGCATGTATTTTAGATTTTCGGGAGTGATGGGCCAGTTTTTGGCAGGATATTTCTCTTTTATATCAGGTAATTTTCAATTGCTATAAATTGATATACTAGCAAATATTTTTCAAAGCCCTTTTTCCAAGTTGGATTTGTAAAGAAGAAAATGAACAAAAAATACTACAAATTCTAAAATCTTTACACGTTATTTTTCCTATCCAAGGGTTCCAGAAGCATGCCATCAGGGGTCAACTTTCAGGCTCTATTATGTCATCTGAACAACTACACAGCTACAACAGTACAGATTCACAATGCAATTAGCACCAACAGGTCACATGTACATGTATATTATGTATCATTTTTCAGAAAAAGTGAATCATGAAAAAAGTCCAAGTCTGCTCCTGGATGATCCCTAACAGTACTCAATTTACCCAAGATAACAACTCTACATTTCCAAATTTCCTTTTTCTATGAGACACTAATGATTTCAATTTTTATTTTATGTAATGATTCTTCCTGAAGTAAACATTGCCATTTATCAATGTTCTTATGCAGCTTAGTTTAATACTAACCTTCAATGACATTGTCTCCTTGTAAACTACGACCGTAGAATTTATCCCGGCATTCAAACTCATCTGTGGCTGGATGGTAAACCTGAGGACAATTAACAGGGTATACAATTTTTCATTACTAATTCCGAAATAAAAATATATCATGTAATCACAAAATTATGCAACTGTTACAGATATAATCATTACACCTCCTACATGTATGTAAAGGTGCATTCTTGACAAATTAGTCAAAATCAGTCAATTGACCCCTACATATATGCGTACAGTACGTGTACTGTGACAAATCAAGTGGTAGGAATTTTTCATTGTCTGTGGCTGTTACAGCAAAAGGTGGATTAATCATGCAAGCCTTTTGTCTGCTGTTCCTTGGACTGTGACCAATCTGCAGGTGTCCCCACATGTAAGAGTCTGCTAAGAGTTATCTACTGATTAACATTCAGAGCTGTTTCTAACCAGTGGCTCTGACTGGCCGCCATGTGGGCTTAGTAAACTAGCCTGCTGCAGTTATCCTCAAGTCTGTGAGGGATGCTACCGGTATAAATTTACCACACCATAAGAAAGAGAACTCAATATTTATCAGACACCACCTCCCCCACAAATTCTGCTTGATTTAGATTTAGAAATTATCAATTTGAGGTTGTAAATGCATAATAGGTTGGCCTATTTGAACAAGAAATTTGTTGAAAATTTGCACTTTTCCAATTTACCTCTACACAAAATGTTAAACCCAACTCTAAAGTGCTAGCACTTCAGAATGTGTGCCATGTGCAACACACACACCAGTATCCTCCCCCACATTAAATGTGGAACGGGTCTCTTAGTGATACTTACCCCTGCCCAGCCTACGTATGCAAATTTCCCATGTGCCTATTACAATTCGCTGAAGAGACTTGATTATGCATGCTGCCCTTTGACCCTCCACAATGCAATGCAATCCTGCCACCATGTTCGTCCTTTTTGAAGCGGTGAAAACCACCGGAGCCAAAGTGGGGAAGGATGGGCGGGAGCGGCTGGGCAGGGGTAAGTATCACTAGGAAACCTGACCCACGCTTAATGTGGGGGAGGAGTCTCTCTATACATATGCAGAGTGGCACCATACCCCAGAGGTGGGTCGGCGATGGGAGCGTAGTTACTAATAGAAACATAAGGTGGGCATCGCCAGAGCGAGCACTCACCAGAAGAAACCCCTAGGTTGAAGTATCCACCGTCTGGACCGGAACAGTGCTGGACATTGTCACTGTGCCATGGACTGTTTTGCTCTGCAGAACATCTTTCTGGTAGCACTCCGTGAAAGTGGAGGGAACTTTTCAGCAAGCCGACTGACAGATTTCAGCTAGAGGAACTCCTCTGAAGTATGATGAGGATGCAGAAGCGGCCCAAACGTCATGGGTCCTGACGGGAAAATGGTCATCTCATCATGTTGTACTGGACAGTCTAAGCTTTCCAAGATAATGGCCGAGACCGTCCATCGGGCAATAGTGACCTTCGACGGCGGGTAAAAAGGGTTTCCTTGTGGTGACGAAGAGCTGGGGAATCATATTCTCGGCGCTGCTTGGTCCTGGCAAGATATCACTTGAGAGTCCGAACCGGACACCATCTCTTGTCAGAGTCGTCTCCCGGAAGTATGTCGGGAACGAATATGTCAGGAGACCAGAAGGTAGGCGTCTGGTTTTTTTGTCAGGAACCCGATGGTTGAGACAAGATGAACCCCATGTGTATAGCCAATGATTTTCCGTTTCAAAAATGGGTATTTTCCGTTTTGCCAAATCCCGAATTCTGCTTCAGAATTTCAAATTTGTTTTATACCTTCGTAAGCATGAAATAGGAGAGCAAGTTTTAAACTATGCACGGAAACCATTTGTCCAACCACATCGTGCCCCCCCAAACAAAAAGACAGAAAAGAAACAAAAATAACAACAATATTGTTTGGAAATACTCTGCAATGGTTCCAACTTTTTTATATTTCATGTAGTGAAAATTAAAAAAAAATCCAGACAATAAATACAGCACACCCCAACCCTTGTTTTCCCACTGGTGCGCGATTGTCAAAACTTACTACGATTAATCAATGGACAATTCATGTGCCACTCATGTATGAAATCAGATTACATGCATGTAAAATGTACACGTACAGTGAAGTTACAGAGTAGTGCTTGCATGTAACAGTCACTGATCACAACATGTTAATGTTGGACACCGACTCGCCATTTTATTTGGCAGTAGTGCGACAAAAATTCAGAAAGTTAACATTAAATCTGAGCCTTAAAATGTATGATTGTGACTAAAAACTTCACTCTTTATTGAGCACTTCCGAGGGCCCATTCAGCTATGGTACACTAACCTAACTAGGTTACGTTTCATTCAAGAAATATGTAATTACTCCTCCGTTTGGCTGCCACAGTTTCATCATTTCGCCATGCGGTACTAGCCTTGTCTAAAGACGTCGATGCCAATTTACAGACTAAATTCCCAACATGTGCAAGAGTCATATGTGTAAAAACTTGTTTGCGCCTTGATTTCATTGCTAACGTGTGAACGGCCTGTGTGTGTATACACAATGTACCATACCACGCCACTGCGCTGGGCTGGCTGCCGCTGCATGCATGGGGCTCATGCCCTCCATATAGCACAGATGACCTAATCATGGGGTGGAGTGGTGCATTTTAGCATGTTTCCAGTGCAATTCGTTCATTAACCGGTTCACTGTGGAGGACTGCTACTACCGGACCATTGTGTGAGGATTAGTGCATACCACACATACATGTACAGTCTATTCACCATGCAGCTGCTGGTTCAATAGGGCCTGCTGCTGGACAAAGCCCTCCATTCAGGGCATACCACAGCCCAGCAGTTGTGGTCAAAATACTCCTGCTGTGAAGGGCTTAAAAGCAAGCATTTGAAAAGGGTTTGGTACACATTTTTTTTTTAGTACTTTGAGAAAGTTTTCTTCACTTTTTAAGTCTTTCTTAGAGGGAATTTTACAAGTTCTGTTTCAAGCAGTGGATTCTTTTTCAAAGTGTTGATTCTGCGAATTCCGTCTGTTTTCCGCAATCGCGGAAAATCATTGGCTCTACGTGTTTCCCAGCGGATGTGACCATCGGCAATTGGCAGGGCATGTAGCTCGCTACCTTGTCTCGATGTAACAACCGTGAGGAGGAGCACCAGCCTGATGCTGAGATGCAGGTCAGACACATCAGCCAGTGGTTCGAAAAAGGGAGACTGGTAAGAACTTGAGGAAAGCTTCCAAGGTCCCAGGATAAGACAACACGTTTGATGTGAGGATGCCCGACAAACATCTCTTGAAGGAGAAATAGGATAGCAGCATTGTTGGAAAGAGTCGAGCCATCGCTGAAGCCTGAGTGGACATCCGGCAAGGCCGTCAAGTAGTTGCAGATGGCAGTAACCTGGAGGCCCGAGTGAAAACCGATACAGTAAACTCTGGCTAAGTCGGCACTCTCGGGACTCAAGAAATTATGAAGACTTACGCAAATGCCGACTTGTGCTTAAGTCGTCATTTTGCTGACTTACACGTACATGTGTTTTGCCTACGTACATGTACATGATGATTCCTTGCACTAATTCAATGACTTTAATTTACCCTGGTTTATTTCTACCTCCATGGTCGATCCCAGCAAATTCATTCTCAATTATTCTCCTCACAGGCTGCAGATTCAATAATTGATCATTTGCCCCTAAGGATGAAGTGGGGATGGCAAGCCACTTGCATATCACATCACAACTCAAAAGTGCAGTACATACATGTACGTGATACAGTTGTGGTACAGAAAACATACACTCATCCACACACGCATTGGTTAAGTTCGTTCAATAAGACGACCCCCAAAATGGACAGAGTGCATGCGTGTAGCACTAGAAGGGTTACTGGTATTGATGTACTCATGCTGGCCGATTATCAACAGCAGCCTATGCCGCTAATAAAGAGACATCATTTCAAAGACGGATTTGCGCCGGGGAGACGTCTGCACTAGTCAGCAGGAGGTCATGCGTTCGAGTCCCACCTGAGTACGCTTGTGGTTTTTACTATGAATTTCAACACCATAAAAATATAGTTTACACCTAATTCACCATGAAACTTTCTTACATGGCAAAGTAAGCCCCTTTTCATGATGCAAAATGAGCCTGCTTGGCGGGGGACTAGCTCATTGTAGTTTCACAGTGTTTTTACATGAGCTTCCAGGAGGTGAGGCACTCTATTGTTATTCATAATGTTTGGCCTATCCAGCTTCCCACCTGTGGGGGTGCTAAAACCCACAGATTAACAGTCTAATTGATGGCGGGATTAGTGTGACTGACGGCCTCATCAGCCCATGCAACCAGCATGCACCGATGTACTTCAATAAAGAATGTCGATACTTCCTCAGAGTATATGGTACCCAAAGTAACGACCACTCTTGGTGAATAACTGTTTTATATATCATGAGTGAAGTGGTAATTAAAAATAAAATGTTTGTTCTGTAAAATTTAGCACATCGATCAGCACTGCCACTGCAGCAAATCTCTTGCCTTCAAACTAGACCTCAATCGCTTACATCTATGTGATCGACCGATCCTTTTTTTACCATTGGTAGACTGTCTGATCCAAACTGCATGCCCATTCACTGTTTACTTTTGATGTGGTTATAGTGCTCCCATTTACAATGCTTTTTGGGATATAATGCTCACGTTTTTTGGCTCAGAGAACCATATAAAGCATTTAAAATGATTCTGGTTACAGCGCCCTTTACCTTAGAAAAATCAGATTCTGTAAAAATCAACGTATACAATCCGCATCGCAAGGCCGCTACGCTAGGTGGCCGGCGGGCGGCGTGGCCTACCAGTAGATGTTTTTTGCAATCAAAGAGTGCAGACACACCCACTATCCTTGCAGTGCTATCGCGGGAGCACGTGCTCACCATGGTGAGCCGCTCCTGCGTGGCTTTCCTGAGGTGATTTCTTTTGCACATTTTGTTTAATCTCGTTGTGTAGTTTGGGTCACAATAATTAACACTGAGATACTACATGTAGTATTTTGTTACCTAAATTTCTCTTTCTACCGTTAAATAAAATCAGCCGCTTAAATTGTATGTCTGTCTTCGTTTAGCAAATCCAGTCTTTTTGCCAATTGCGTTCAGCGTGATGTATCAGATCTATTTTCAGTTGGGTTTTCTAATGACGTGTCACTTTCTGTGGTCACATGGTTATTGGGAAAATCAGCGATTAGACTGTCCATGAATGGACATGCAGTAGCAGTCAGGATGTCATGGTGGATGTAGATACAGTTTGTGTGCCGCGCGCAATGTCCAAATCACACAGCTGTAAGCCCTGACTGCCAGCATAGATCGGTGTGTCATTTCATACCATAGCCAAGTGATTCGGACATGGCCAAAATCTTTTACATAGTACATGTACATGTCACTGTGATTCATCGAATGCGCAGAGGAATTTTTGCCAAATTTCACATGTGCTGCCACTGCTTGAAAAATTTCTCAGGATCTTGAAAAACAGAGACCCAACTTTATGTAAAATGTCGTAAGCACTCATTGGGTCGCATACTGGACCACAAACATCCCACATTTAAGTTTACAAATATTAGGAGGAAAAATGATGCTTTGGTCCACTTGGTCCTTTCCAACAGCTGCAATTGCAAATTTGGTTTTTTGGCCCCAAAGTCCAGACCAGTTGCTCTAATTCCACGAAACTTGACATAAGATGTCGTAAGCATCCATTGGATCATCACATACTGGACCACAAAGGTCCCACATTCAAGTTTACAGAAATTAGGAGGAAAAACGATGCTTTGGTCTACTTGATCCTTTCCAACCAAAGATGTTTTCAAACAATGTACACATACAACACCATTGCACTTAATTCACATTGTTTCTTTCATTAATATGCGTAAACATTACACTGGAACATTAGTGTACATTGGTGTTTAATAAACAAAACCGTCCATTCTTCAAAGCTGCAAATCTTGGCAAAATATTTCAGTGTTTTCCGAATTAACAAGGTCTTGAATGCCATTTTATTTCTTCCGAGTGTTTGTCAGGCTGTACCACTGCCAGGGCTGATACTTGTGATAGGAATATGTTGTGACCGACTGGCCAGGGACTATTGAAATTTGCTTAAAAATTATATCTGACAAGATACAAGTCACAATTGTATACTGCAATGGGGGATCATCGTTCATGACACCCGGTACACGTTTGCAAGTGTAAAAATGATTATGAGAGTGAAAAAAGCCTGTCGAAAAATGGTAATAATATCAACTTGAAAACAGCATTCACTGGAGAAAGTGTTTGAGAAAACTTTGGGGGAAAACAACGCAACGTACGTGGAAAGTTTCCTGTTCCCTTCATCCCCTCAGGCCACTGCAGACCTAAGATAGGGGCCTTTCAGTCAAAATGTAATCAAAGACACGAAAAGCAAAACGAATGCACAAGCGTGAACTGCCAGGACTATAAAAGTATAAGTGCATGTTCCGGCAAACGCGTACATGTACGTGTGCTGTGGTTGTGTGCCTACACAAACACAAGCAGGGCACCCCGAAATCTATCTTACAAAATGCACAAGAACGGGCACAAGTTTCGTTTTTGGACTCACAGATTTATTGGTCATTCGAGAATTTGATGTTTTGGATTATTTCTAACAATGCTGCATAACAGGTTTTGCACCACACGGTTGCCTGGATCTAACTCATCAGAGTTTAATGAGTATCCACTTCGTAAGAAACTTTCAACTCATTGAAATCTAAACTTAGCCATGCACTTAAGATTGACTGACAGGCAAGCGTACACCTTTTATGAGGGATTAGGCCCATTAGGCTTCGGTGGTGGGTAAAGGATCTCTGACTTGGACTGACAGACAATGTCCTCTCTGACCAGAAGGACCAGCAGCAGTCGTACCAGGAGTCTCATCCGCCTTTGAAACCACAGTTGACGAGTCCAGAACGGGGCGATGAGGAGGATCCGACATAGCTCCGTACTATCTTGGATAGGACCCATGGGATGAGGGAGATTGGAGGGAAGATGTACGCCAGAGGGCCTGACCAGTCGATCTGAAGAGAATCTGTTGCCCACACCCGTGGGTGAGGGAACCTGAAGAAGATCATTGGAAGCTGGGCATTGTCAGTGAGAGCAAACAGATCGAATTGAGGATGCTCAATCTCCGCGAAAATCTGGCTGACAACATGTGGATAAAGAGTCCTCTCTGTCAGTTGGACAGTACCCGAGAGAGTGCGTCTGCTGTGCTGTTGCTGGTTTCCGCTATGTGGACAGCTTGAAGGCTGATCCCCTGACGCAAGGGCACAGGAGTTGAGGAGGGCGAGTGCCACCATGACAATTGATGTACGTCACTGTCGTTGAGGCATCGCTCTGGACTCGAGCAGAACAACCCACTCAGTGCTGTCGGAAGTGACAAAGAACGTTTAACACCGCTTGGAGTTTTAACACATTGATATGTTTGCCTCGAGAGGCAGTCCCCTAGACCTCGGAGGCACGGAGTGGAGAGAGGCTCCCCCTCCGTCCAGCGCCGCATCCGTCGTCACGGTCAAATGTGGACTTGGAGGGACGAAAGTAAGGCCGGCCCACATGCAAAAAGAAGCAAATATTCCCTAGGAAATGAATCATGAGCCTTGTTACATTGTACTTTGTTCGAAGTGGCCATTTGTATCCTTGAGTTAGAGGACCACAGCCATAACATAACATGCCTTACAAAAATAGAAAAACTGCAGTATGCACAATCGAGTCTTTTCAGCGAATTGTAATAGGCACATGGGAAATTTGCATATGTAGACTGGGCTGGGGTATGTGAACGCCGCAGACTGCATAAACACACAATACCTGAGGTCATGCATACCGTACGTATACGTTGCTATGAAAAGAGAGAGAGCAAAAACAACAAGTGTCATGTGACTAGCTCTTGGCCAATCAAGGTATAGAATCAAGAAACAGAATCTGTGGGTAAGGTGTTAAAATGAATGTTACCTCCGAGCAGGCTCTCATGAACAGTGTCATTTTCAGACCAGAAAACAAATAAGGAATGTAATAAAATTCAATTTGATTGCTTTGCCGTAGAGCAGTCTTCACACACAAATGAACTTCAGAATCACCTCTCAATGTAGTCTCTGATATATACAGCTGCTTATCATGAAAAGTTTATATGTAACAGCATTTAAGTGAAGACTTAACGAGAGACAGAATCCTGAGGTATAAAAAGTGAGGCCATTTCTTACCCTCATGCCAAGAATCTGGAAGCCAATCTTCTCCAGGTTGGGGTATTTCTCCTTGGCAAGTTCTACCTTCCTCAGTGAGACGCCATCTTCATAGCTCTTGCATCCAATCTTCACATCCATGACACAAGGCTTGCGAAACCGTGCAGTGACATCCTTTATTTTCAGGTATACCACTGGTGTTGATGAGTCAAGGTCCACTTTTCAGGGATAGAACTGAGTGGAATTTGTTGTATACTGAGAATCTATCACCTTCCCATCATCTCCTCCCCTTCCCTGGCAGTACATTGTATCATTCATTTAGAAACTTTGAAAGAATTCATACTTGTATCATGTTTTGTAGCTCCACAGGAAAGCAGATCAAGGCAGAGTGAGAGTTGAGTACTTTGCACACACCATTTCAATTTATTGGTGGAGATAAAGCTGCATGTACGGATATTCAGCAGAAAATCTTGCCAAAAGAAGGTACTGGACATTCACAATATTAAATGATCTAAGCTTTTCATGGAAACATTTTGGACAACACTCTTTGAGCATTTTTCAAGTAATTCCATCCAACAGCTTAATAAAGCATCACGTTTACATGTACACATATATGTATCCAATGTCTAAAGAGTTTTTCTTTTGTAAGTTCTAACACTGACTTCATTTGCTATCTACTGTTAGTATTTCTCTAGATACATGTACATGCATGTGGGTAAAGAACACTTTTATTAGTATTAGTAAATAAAGTACTCACAAAGTACTTTTACAATTCTAAGCAGCGGAGTTCCCTCTAAGCCGCTTAAAAAGATAAATCTTTAAATTCTCTCTGGTTCCGGTGAAATAGTACCTGTAAAAGGTACTAGAACTGAAGGACTACGATGAGTACATGTACATGAATGTCTACATGCAAGAATGATACGAAAAGCAAAACCAAATCAGACGATAGGAAAAACAAAGTTCAACACTTCCATTTTTCTGTCACTCTCTCTTTATACTGTTTGAAAGAAAAAATGAGCAGGCACAGTACACCAACTGCAGCGATACACACAATCATTAGCATACATGTACATGAATGCAACAAAAATTTACACTGAAAGAAATGTAAACAGTACTCGTTTCCCCTACTATTTTATTATGGAATTAATCTGATCCCCTATGAAATCCCAACTACCCACTTGACACTGGAGTATTTTTAGGAAGAATCACAGAAATATAGTAGAGTATTGACAATACTTCTTCCATCAGTAGGCCAGTTAAAAGTATCTCATTCAGTTTTTTTTTAAAAAAACCTTCGCTACAGAGGACTGCTGCTACCACACCACTGTGTGAGGATTAGTGCATACCACATATACAGTCTATTCACCATGCAGCTGCTGGTTCAATGGGGCCTGCTGATGGACAAAGCCCTCCATTCATGGCATGCCTCAGCCCAGCAGTCGTGGTCAAAATATATGTGAAGGGGTTAAAAAAAAGGGGGAAAATTGCTCTTTTTCAAGATACAAGTACAATATTTCCAGAAATGGCTGGCATGTTCCTCCACTTCCTGGATTCTTTTGGGGACATGTATCTAAAGGATACATGTACCAATAAATGACATCACACCTTTGCTCATGAATATTCAAGCTTGAATTAGCACAAACCCAAAGGCTCTGAATGATCTGGACACGAGCAAATGCATTAAAAAGAACTGCTTCAAAAATACTGCAGGAACACTTTAAGTTAACCACTTCCTGCCGGGCGACCCGGAACTGGGGCAAAAAGAGTTGGGCCTTGTAACAAAAGACTATGCTCAGCACAAAAGACTGAGCTGCTGGGCATTACTGACAATTTTTTGCTCTCAATAGTGGAGATAATCCAGCCTTGTTTTGCAACAGTATACCACGGTTTGGGGAATTTAGAGCGAGCGGATTACCACCAGGGACAAAAGCTCTCCACCACTGCAGCAATGAGCCACACAGCACCGCTGCACGCTAATCTGGCCCCTATTGAAAAGAGGTTAGCAGTGCACTGTGCCGGTTTCGGGAACAAAAGAATTTTACGTAACACCGCACAATCTGGGCTCTTTTTCCAAAGCTGCAGGCCTGGCTGAAATATTCAGGAGTCAATGAAGGTTACCTGTCAGCTAAAGAGTAGTCCCAAAGAGTACTTCATGTGGGTAAAACGGCCATGAAATGAAATGATGAATTTTTGAAGAATTTTGAAAACAGAAAATCTTGAAAAGGACCCGGATCTTGTCTTGCTCAAGAAAAATCCACCCGGCAGCAAGTGGTTAAAGGGTCCACATTTGCTGAACCACTATTCTCCTTGATAAACTTGAAAGAACCCTGTCAAACTTGCAAAGAATATCAAATGATACAAAAGAATAGCATGCACACAGGCATATTATCTAAACAGCAGCACTGACCTAGCCTACACATGTAGATTAATAAAATTTTAGCAAAGGTAAAGGATACACGATGGATCTTCAGGTGATACAAAGGTGCCATAGAAGCCAGGTACCAATGGCCTCAAGCTGGTATACAGCGGATTGGACTGGTCTGGTCTGGTGACATTCTGGTAAAAGGCTAATTCCCTCTTGCCTCTGCAAGCATTTTGGCCTGGTTTGAGGACAGTTCCCATACCATCCTGAAGAAGACCTGAAAAAACAGGGGGAATGACAACTAGAAAGTGAAGAGCCTCTGTGCAAAAAAGGTGAACAGGGGTTCTCCTACTAAAATTGCCTGATTTTTAAAGAAAAATATTCACACCTTTTTACACCAGTGGAAATATTTTTCAGTTAGAAAAATTTTTCTCACCTTTTTCACAAGTGGCAAATTCGCCAGTGAATGTGAATTTTTTCATAATTTTCCCAGTCATTTTCATAGGGTTAAGTTTCAATTAAAACGTACTAGTTTAGAGAGATTATGGCGCTACCCAGTATACCCGGGTACATGTACATATATGTATCTATAGCTCCACAGCAAAATTAAGATTAAATCCCGAACATTTACATGTAAGATGTATGGAAGTACAGTACATCTACACAAGTACGTGTACATGTACATATGCAAAGATGTACAATGTACATCCACTGATCCATTCATTTTGGCAGGTCTAGATATGTAGATTGAAACCGAACTGTGTTACACATGTCTTTCCACACTACAAAGGTGTGACATAGCATTGGGAAATAAATCAAGTTAATACCTGTAATATCAACCTGGGGTATTTGTCCATTTTCCCTCTTGTACCATAATATTCCCATCTCACTTTTGAAGATTGTGCTCGCTAAGAACTTTCCAAGCAAAATGATACAATGTGCTTGCTTAGAATGTTCCATACTAGTCCAGTTAATCTAGAAGATTTGAGGGGGAACCCACCCTGTAATGCATTTCAGAATGATCCCCTGAACACCACACTAGAAGTCCTAAAAATATGAAAAAGAACGATGATAAAACAGTGATGACCAAAGAGAGAGGGAGAGAGAGCGATGAAGGAACATCAGTGGAGGAGGAGTGATGACGAAGGTCAATGAAATTACATCGATACGAACGGTGCACAATTTTATATATGTGCGCATCTGTATACACACTGTTCCACCTCTGAGGGTTCAGTTGGTCATGTTGGTTGGAGCAGAGTTTTGCAGCCACCATGAATTCTGTTTGTTTCCAGATTGTTTGTTTCGTGCGTTTCGGTGGATAGGAAAATAGCAAGGAAAACCGGTTTGTGTATGCAAAGTTCAATTAATAATATATTGATCTTCAGACTATACAGGATTATTCCAAGAAAATTAAATTACAGTTTATAATAGGGAGGGGACAGACGATTGGTCATTAGCTGACAAGGGCTACTTTTTTCTTACTGTTTGATTTGTACGTACAGCTATGTAGCCGATAGCTCTGTTCGCCGATGTGTATAGTGTGATCAGCAGGAAGAGAAAATTTTGGTCAAAGTCATTTTTAATGCACTGTGGGTGATACAAATGTATGTGCATAGTGGAGCTCCTGCATAGTATTGTGTGTGAAGTTTTTCTTCAGTGTTATACATACATTTAACTGGGAAGTCAATACATATACATGTACATGTACTGGTTTCCTGCAAGACCCCAATAATGGGTGGGTAACGCCTGTCAACATGTAGAGGCACAGTACTCATATGTAGTGCTTGGCGACACCAAAGCTCGCTTGTAACTGTTTCATTTCATTTCATTTACGGTTTATTTCTTAATACCAAAAAGAAAGTCAAAAGACTAAAAATATTTGGCTTACAATATACACAATAAGAGGTTAAAATTGACATAAAAAAATATATCAATAACTGAATATTAAAAAATTGCACAGAGTACGATATTTAAAGAACAAATACCACAGAACACAATGTCAGTTTTTCTTTTCTGTGTCTGTGCAAACTGCATGTTTGTGTATAGGGAAGAGGTGTAGTCATACAACTCTACATGTACGTCTAAGTCTGGTGGAGTGGAGTACGGCCGCCACCATGAATTTTGTTTTCTCCAGACTGTTTCCCAAGGTTACAGAAAGTGTTTTTTTATGGCCAAGAAAATAAGAGAGACCGGTCTGTGCAAGCAAGGTTTAGGAATAATTGATTGATTTTATCCCTTTGCTAATGGAGGGGGGGTGGTGGTTCCCCAGGATTATTCCAAAAAGATTGCTGCAATGAATTGGTCTTTTTAAACAAGGAGTGGTTGAGATTGGTTATCAGTATTAACATGGCCACTGCACACTTTTATGCAGCAACTAAGACCCAACCATTGTCAGAATATGGTTGGGTCTTAGTTGCTTAAACTTGGTTTCCCAATGCATATGTCTGGGTTTTCTCTGTTGAATTTGTCATACGCACTTATGCCCATAACCTTCCTACTCTTAACACTTCCTACATCTTTCTTTGCACTCCGTGCATCAAGCAGATCTCTTGAGATGTCTCCTCTTCCATAAAATTCAATGACCCTAGCAACTACACCTGTTGGGAGGGCATCACTCCTCCTTTTCCTTGTGTCCAATTGACGGACATCATCAACCCTAGCAGCACATTTGGTTAGAGAGTATCCAAGTCCAATATGTTTTCTCAGATGCCGCCTGTATCCATGGCTGTATTTCCGCTTCACGGACAGGGCCGCTGCTAACACCCATTTCCCACGCAAGGCTGACGTGCTTCTTTATTTGTTGAAACCCAACACTGTTGTCTTTGTTGTTCCCACGTGACTCTTTGGCAAACTGCAGAAACCTTCTTGACTTTGGACTAGCATTAATTCCTTTCCCTTTTAGTTGCTGTTTTTTCTTGGAGTTGCTTTGTGAGTCAATCTTGTCAACACTTCTGCATACTGTCTACAGTTTTTTGGCATTGCTTGCTTGGCATGGTACATAGCCTTGCAAAAAATACCACTAGAGACTGACGTCTGCCGTGCCTCTGATGAGTGTGTTAATGGTGATGTTCCTTTGGTGGAGGACATCCTTTCCTTCCTTTTGGCATACTTTGCCCTGCGTTTTTCACTGGTCCTCCATTTTGCCTGTGCTGTTTGCTTTGCTCTTTGATTCTGTTTCTGTCTTCTCCATTTGCTTCGAAACTTTTGTACACAAAGTCAGGTTTTCTCGCAGTATTGAGCTTTTTTCTCCTCTATTAAATTTGAAAGATACCCTTTGACCCTCAAGTTTTCAGATGCTCGATGCAATTTATAGAGTTTATGGTTCTGTTTGATACGCTGTCGGTACTCTCTTTGGTATTCAGCATGAGACTTGCTATTTTTGGAGGTTCCTCCTCTGCTATCTCAAGCTGTTCATCCAACTTCCTCTTCACTCGAAGATTATAGCGATGTGCATCAGTCATTCTGTACTCTGTACCTGTTGTATAAATTACCAAGACCAAAGAAGACATTCAAAATGTATTCAACCCATAAATCCACCAATTAAAAAGTTGCAAATTGTCCATTCTATGTTTGTACAGTTTAGATACAAGGTGTCACTGTCAATTATAAACAAAATGTTTAAAATGAAAAAAGCAAACTTTTTAAGAAAATACAACCAAACAAAAAGAAAGAGGTAAAACACTACTATGTAAAAAACAAAACGTAAACACAAGAAGACTTATCACGGAGTGTGCTGACTTACCGGTATTATGCGGGCGCCATGGCGAGAATGTCTCCTTGCCTAAAAATACATGTAGTACATGTGGGCCAACATCATCAGCATGTTTGGCCTACAACAGTAGCTTTTTCTTTTTGAGAAACCTAAAAAAAAAAAATAATAACACTAACAGGGTCCCCAGGGGTTCCATAAAGCCAAGTTCCCCTGTCTGTGTAAGCATCACTTGCCTACATCATGTAATATTTAACTTAAACCCACTACGACTTCATTGCATTCAATTTTAATTCACTGCGAACTCACTCCCATACCATTAGATAACAAATGGGACAAATTTAATACGAACAGGGCGAAGTCGAAAGCACCAGTATTCAGTCGGGGTGAAGTTGTCCACTATCACTAACGTTATACAAACTTACAAAAAACCAAATTTCGAAAATGCAGTTTAGCCCTGTCAACTAGTAATATCCTCACATATGGCCACTTCTTGGAATGCCAACGTGAAAAACAGGATTTGACATTTTCAATCACTGTAAAAAATATTCTTCCGTTTGTTACAAAGAACGTTTAGAATGGCTGTCTGCTGAAACCAACATGAAAAAAGCCCCGAAACTTCAGCCTACAAATTGCAATTGCAACAAAAATTGCACAAAATTGCACAAAAACTCAACCATGGAGAAATCTGTCCAACACTCTGACATATTTAACTCGGACATAAACCTACATGTATGTTCTTTGCTGATTTTTGCATATTTTACAAAATTTTCAAGTGTTTCTTACGTTCGTAACTGTGGACACTAAAATCATTTGCAAAGTATCACGGGTAACTAACATAAAACACTGATGATTAAGAAAAATTAGCAAGGCTATTCTTGAAGTTTTTTATTTTTCTGTTGGACTTTAACTAAAAAAAGTGTAAATTATATGTCGTTTTGCATTTTTAAGAGGGACTTGAGATGTTTATTATTTTTCTTCCGTTCATTAAATATGGGCAACAACAGTTCGCTGCAAAGACCACAAATCCCCCATTGATTATCTATTAAAATCTTCCCTTTTAAAATGCCATCTGAACTCTTCTCACAAAAAATACAGAAAATAAAATCTATTTAAGTAGATACAAACCTTTTGGCTGCTCTTTCCCGGATATTTCTTTTGATTGTTCGAAAGAAAGCTGTCACCGACAATGAATTTCTCTGTTAGTTACAAAGTGGCACGAAATCAACCACGGTGGATGCAATGCTTAAAATGATTTATATCACAAAAGAAGTGACCGAGCCTAAAAACAAGTGATTTTTAGGTCATCCATACAGGGTACGATTTCACGAGTATGACAACAGTTCAGACTGCGCCAATCACTAGTTAAACATGGTGATGTTTTACATTAGTTGCAAAGTGGACACAAAAATTATAGCGATCAATTTGTTGATGTTTTCTCATCCTCAATGGTAATTGGGGTCTTGCAGACATTTTACAAGATGTTTATTGAGCTTTTATATTTTGAATAAAAGTGGCTTAAACAGGTAAAGGTGAGGCTTGTAAATAATGATTCTGGCCCTTTTATC